CTTCGTTATCGTAGGAGCCGGCAACAGATCGAGAGATGTACCCGGGCACCACCGCTATCATGGCGGCAGCAAGGAGCCCTGCCCCTGCATCCTGGGGAAAGAAACAGAGAAAGGGAGGAAAAAAGCCATAGAATCACAGAATGGTTTGGGTTGGAAGGGATCTTAGAGATCATCAAGTTCCAACCCCCCTGCCCTGGGCAGGGACACCTCCCACCAGACCAGGTGGCTCAAAACCCCATCCAGCCTGGCCTTGAACCCCTCCAGGGATGGGGCAGCCACAGCTTCTCTGGGCAACCTGTTCCAGCGCCTCACCACCCTCACAGGAAAGAACTTCTTCCTAATATCTAATCTAGATCTCCCCTCTTCCAATTTAAACCCGTTATCCCTTGTCCTGTCACTGCACTTCCTGACAAAGAGTCCCTCCCCAGCTCTCCTGTAGCCCCTTCAGATATCAGAAGGCTGCTATGAGGTCTCCCCAGAGCCTTCTCTTCTCTGGGGTTTTTAGGGCTTTCGTTATGCCATACTACCTCAAAGGAACAAAAACTGAGTGTTGAAATGATATTTTAAAACAGATCTCCCATTTCCTAGAAGTTCTGGGTTTTGAGCAGCGTGGTGGTCACCTCCAAATGGCTGCTGCAGCTGCGAGCTGCCTTTCGGTCCTTTTCCAAAAAGCAAAAGCCTCCAAGATGTGTCCTTCATCTCCCCCTCACCTTGAGCTCTTTGGTGAGGTGGTAAGTCACGATGGTGGTGAAAGAGGAGAAGAGGGGCGCCAGGAACACGCAGACGTTTCGGATGTCGATGGTGATGTGGAAGAAGTGCAGCACGTGGTAAATCGCTGCCGACGTGATCATCAGGCCTGCGGGATGGAACCGACGCCGTTACCAGGGTGCTCTAGCTCTGCTCCCAGCACGGGGCATCGTTAGCTTCTAATTAACAGCAGGGCAGCCCCAAGTCTCCCTCAGGGCTCTGCTCCGTGCATGCTATCCGCCCCCACTCCTGATTTTCGAGGTGCACGGCGCGTTTGGGCTCAGCAAATGCCCCAACAGCTCACCTGGGTAAATGGTGCCCCCGATGATCCTGCCCAAGGGGTACCACGCTCGGTCGTCAAACCAGTTGTGGAATTTATAGAAGCCCTCCTCCGCCAGGAAGCGGGTGGTGCGGTAGTTGAAATACCTGCAACAGCAACAAGCACCAAGGGTTTCCACGTCGGGATAGAGAGATCTTGACTGTGTCACCACTCCTCGGGTCACAAGAGCAGCCCTTAACGAGCCTTCAGACCATGAGGCAGCTTTTAAGCAGCAGTTAATTACCCACTTTGATACCCTTCTCTGATGTCCTGGGGTTGGAAGGGCTGACCGGCTGTATTCCCCGCAGAGGAAATTAGTTTATTTTCCCCAGACTACTGCAAACCTCAGCTGTAAAGGTTCATCCCTCCTCCCAGGGGATTTAAAAGAGGGTTTGCAAAAGCAACTTTCTCCCTCTCGCCTGATTTAACCAGCAAAAAGCCCAAGATGCAGACAAGAGTCGTAGCAGGAGCTGTGCCCCGCTCAGGTGGAGAATAACCACAGCCCAGCATAAAAGCAATATTGGGTGATTACTGAGATCCGGGCTGCAGGATGAGTCCCGGGCACTGAGAAGTGAATTTTGGGTCTGGAAGAGGAAAAACCAGCTGTACTGAAAAGTGCCCTCCAAATCCTTCATCCTCAAGGGGGATTAACTCGAGCCCAGCAGACACCACCCAAATTCTGCACGAAAACCCCAGCAGACTCCCGGGAAACGGAAGGGGAGGAAGACACTCACGGGTCAAATTCATGGATGACACTTTCAAATCTCAGGACGGAGAAAAGCCTCGTGGAGAAGGCTGCAAACATAGAAAAAGGGCAGAGTGAACCTACATCTCCAGCGCTGCCTAAGCCAGGGTTATGTTAGGTTTATCTACTTCTTTGCTGAATTAAAATTCTTTCCATCTTAAACCGATCATTGGGAAGATAAAGTAAGATGCAGAATGAATACAGAAGGAATAAAAGTGCTCGTTTTAGGCACTTTAAAGACAGATGAGAGCTTCACAACCTATAAAAGAAGAAGGAACAGAGATGGCTCCATGCCGGTGTCCCCCTTTGAGGGCACCAGCAGCCACCCGCAGCGCCAGGACGCGGACTCACAGAGCACAGCTGCCATGGACAAGATGAGGAGCTTGAGAAGAGTGTCCTGCTTCTCATAGGAGAGCCGGAGAAACCCTAACTTGGTCATCCTGACATCAAAAGGGGGAGGTTGAGGACGCTTGAAGACCTGCAAATGAAGAGGGAAAGATGATCAAAGAGCGAGCCATCGCCCAGCCCCACAACATCCCTCAACGTTTCAGGAAATTGGACCTTAAATACCTGACTCCTGCCCACGGAGGCTGCGTCCACCCTTTGCCCCCACCAGATGCTTTCGCTGATCCATGTCTCCCTCCCCCAAGCCCCCTGGCCTCCTGTCCTCACCTGATGGGCCGCCCCAAGTCTCAGCTGAGGTTTGCCTTTCTTTTACAGAGATTAGAACTTCTTCGGGGCAGAGGATGAGCCTGTTTCTCTGTATAAAAAACAAAACCCAAACGTCAGCTTGTCACGAAACTCATCCAAAAATCCCTGACCGGTCTCTGGAGCTCAACCAGTACCCTGAAGCGATGCATTCAAAAAAAAAAACTCAGTGGAGATCACAAAAAGCGGGTAGTTTTCTCAAACACACGAGGTCCAAATGGCTCTCAGCCGTTCCCACTCTGAATTATATACATTTAACTTGTACATCCCAGCGGTTTGCTAACGTGGAGCAGCACAGTAAGTCCCCCTTGGTTATGTGGGACAACTTGGCAGTTTAATTCAATCTCCAGGAAGAACTGACAAAATCCTGGTATCAGACACCGAGGAAGTGAAACTGCGGCCAGAGAATAACGTCTTCCTACTCTTGAAAACACTCTTGATTTCTTTAAAATGTTTCTTTGACCAATCAATCCGGGAAAAAACCCCACTGCTCCTTGCAGGTTCAGTCCCAGAACCGGTGGATAAATCCTCAGCTCCCCTCTCTGAGCTCCAAGGCCGGGGAGGACAGATTTGACAGGCTGAGATTTAAAAATAAAATACAAACCGGGCTTGGGAAAAAAAAAAAAGTGTCTCTGGGACCTACAAGTGATTCCGACTTGCACTAATTTGTCACTAATTGATGCAGAAACAAGCCCGTGTTGTAATTATTTCCTGGTTCCCCTGGGGATTGGTGACAGAATGCAGATGCCTCCTGGGCGTGAGTTGCCTCTGAGGTACCACAGCACCCCAACGCCACCCGCACCCCGATAGACACAGGGCCCAGGGGGACCCTCTGCCACCCAGTAAGGTCACAGCTACTGGGGGAACCCGTAGGCCCCAGATCCTGGGACGGGAAGGCAAAAAAGCCATCCTGGGGCTACGGACTAACACCCCGCTGTCGCCACCACCCCCTCTGAGCCTGTCTGTGTCCAGACACCGTGCCCCCTACAAGCTCCCACACTCCATCACTCTACACCTCCAGGCACCCCACAACCCCTCCACCCCCAGCCCCTAGCACCCCATAGGTCCACATCTCACAGGCCCCAGTCCCTCACCACCAGCAGTACTTCACCCCACGTACCTGGGCACCCCAAAATCCATGGCCCTACAGGCCTGGGCACCCCACAGCCCCTTGCCCCACATATCTGGACAATCTACAACCCATAGCTCCTCACACCACGGGCCTGATTACCCCACAACCCCTCGTCCCACAGACCTGGGCATCCCAGAGCTCCCTCACCCCACAGGCATGGGCACCCCATAACCCCACAGCTCCCTCACCCCACAGGCACGGGCACCCCATAACCCCACAGCTCCCTCACCCTACAGGCATGGGTACCCCATAACCCCACAGCTCCTTCACCCCACAGGCATGGGTACCCCGTAACCCCACAGCTCCTTCACCCCACAGGCATGGGCACCCCATAACCCCACAGCCTCTCACCCCACAGGCCTGATTACCCCACAGCCCCTCACCCCACAGAGCTGGGCACCCGACAAGGCCCGGGCAGCCCCTCACCCCACAGACCTGGGCGCCCCATAACCCCACAGGGCCTGGGCAGCCCCCCCGCCCCACAAACCCG